CAGGCGCCAGGCAGCCCTGCCGCGGCTGGAACAGGCGCCTGGAGCCCGAGTAGCTCCTGGGCAGGGGGTCCGTTTCTTGGTGGAGCTTCTACCACCTTGACCCGAGCCTCCCTTTGCTGGCCAGTGCAAGGCGGACACCCCCAGGCTTCCCCTGCCTCCCTCCCTCCTCGGGGTTATGCCCGTCATGGGACAGCCCTCTAGGAGATCCCTGGGTCACTGAGAAGGACGCTGCGTGGCTTGGCGGGGGCACGGCAGGAATGGCTGCCACGTCGTCCTCACCTGACAGGCCAAGGAAGCTGAGGCCTTGGGGCCGCTCTTGAAGGGCAGACAGAAGCTCACCTAGGCCCACACTGCTGATTTCACGATTGGCAGAGAGGTCCAGGGAGATGAGTGTGGGGCAGAGAGGGAGACACCTGAAACAGTGAGTGCAGCGTGGGTTCCCAGGGGGGCAGCCCCCCATCACCAGGGAAGGCCACCCCCAGAGAAACCACACCTCGGCAAGCCGGGGTCGGAAAACAATGGCACTGCTGATACTCCCAGGAGCTAACCGAAGCTCTAGAGGACTAAGAACCCTTGCATGGAATGCCACACACAAGGAAAAGAAGCGTCGAGAGGCAAAATTTCCCGACAGCCACAAAAGTATGATAAAGGCAACGTCTGCTGGGGCCAGCCCTGAGAGAGTAGATGCTGGAAAAAGCCAATATAATCTGCTCCAGCTTCCTGGAATCACAGGCCTTCAGATGAGGCTCTCCCAGGGGGCTGCTCATTACCTGCTCAGCTCTCTCACAGCCTTGTCACCTAAGTAGTTTGCAGACAGGGTCAGGTGGGTCAGAGTGCAGCCTTCCTGAATACAAGCATAGGCCCCAGGTCACACCCAGCACCTACCTGTCCTCCTTCCTCCCAATAGAGGAACCACACCCATAAAGCCCTGTTTGGAGATCTGGAACAAATAGTTTGTCAAGATTTAGCCTCCTCTGGGAAAGCACTCGGGAGACAGGGACAGTTTGCCCCTTGGGACCTACCTATGGTGGTGAGGCCACACTGGGTCCCAGGTATCCTGAAGCAGGTGTCTGCACAACTGCACAGGCCTCCCCTCGCTGTTCCTAAAGCCCTCTCCTGCCAGACCTCCCCAGCCCCAGTGCCTCAGCTGTGAGACTTTTGTCTGTGGCCTCTGAGGACTGTCCTAGCTTGGTAGTCCCTTCTCCACTGTGTACCTTCGTCAGGTAGCTGACAACAGAGTCCATGAGGCCCAAGTTGCTCTTGCTGGCCGCAACGGAGCCAAGCTCTAGGTGCAGGAGGGTGCGGACACGCAGGCTCTGTAAGACTCTGGCCAAGGCAGGGGGACCCAGAGCATTGTATGACAGGGACAGAGTCTTCAGGTGCTCAGCATCTGCAGGGCATCAGAACCTGTAGGCCCCCAAGTGGTCCCTGCCCTCTACCCAGGTCCTTGCCAGAATCTTCATGACCCCCTTTTTTGTTGGAAACTGAGGTACAGAGGTAATGACTTTCCCAATTCTGTGCTCCTAGCTGCTGAAAGGAGAGGTGGCTTTAAGTCAGAATGTGGGTGGGTGGCCGGGGAAGCACTCCAATGGTCATTGCCTAACCTCTGTTGGGCTGCCCTGGGTGGCCCACACTCCTTGTCTCTAACACTGAATGCCCCGCACCCAGACGTCCTCATAGAGGAACCGCTTCAAGCAAACAGAAGGTGCACCACAGGCACAGGGAGACTTGAGAGGCAGACAGTCTGGGACCCCACCCCTCGTGTGAGTCCCAGGGGAGCACCCAGCCCAGGCAGGGCAAACATCAGATTCAGATTCAGGCATAGATCGGCCTTATTCACTCACCTTGGAAGGCACTACTCAAGGCTGCCTGGTGGTTCAGGAAGAAGCTGGAGCTGAAGCCACAGGCCTGTAAACGCAGGGTGCTGAGCAAGGGGCAGGCCCGCAGGAGAGAGGCCAGAGCCTGGCCACAGCTATCCCCCAGTGGGTTCATGCTTAAGTCCAGCTCTTCCAAGTTCTGTGGAAGGGGCAGTCATTCAGTTCTCATGACCATGGGCCTGGGCCTCCACCCTGGGGACCTGGTGTTCCACTCTAGAGTTGGGTACGGCCAATTGTCCCAGCCATACCACAGGCCCAGTGTGATGGCAACACTAATGTCTTACTGATCTGCTACACCCTGGGTCTCTACCTTCAAGGCAGCCTGGCCCAGGGGCCCCCCAGCAAGCTGGTGTAGACCTTCCTGGCCCAGGTGATTAGAGGAAAGGTCAAGGATGGCCAGGCTGGGCATGGTGCCCAGGGCAGCCAGAAGCTCAGGAACACATCCGTCACCCAGCCGGTTCCCTGCCAGGTGCAGCTCCCGGAGCACAGCGTGCAGCTTGAGGGCTCGCAGCAGGGGTGTGAGCTGGGCCTGACGCAGGGCCAGGGAGCAAGCGCTAAATGAAGGGCTTGAACCCTGGCACTCCATGGCTTGCAGCACCCACTGGTGCTCTCCTGGGGAGAGAGATCAGGGTCACTAAGGTCAGAGCCTACACCTTCTGCCGTGGAATCCTTCAGACAAACATCAGTGCGCGATGAGGTGATGAGCTCATCGCATAATCCTGGAACATGAAGTAGGTCATGGAGGCCATGCGCACCTTCTCCCAGTACCCCAGGCAGGCAAGCAGCTCATGTCAGACTCATGGCTTGACCTCTGGGGCTTGCATTGCTTCATTGGATCCTGCTCCTGAGAACCCAGAGTTGAGCTGTCTGCCCCTATCTACCACCAACATGGAGTACAACAGTCCTGAGGCTCGGAGGAGGGATGTCCTGCAGACCTGGGGATGGCTGTAGGCCTGGGGGAGAGAGTGTAACCCCGGCCTCGGCCCAAAGCCAGGGCCCCTCACCTTGCCCGAGGCTCTGGCAGGCTCTGCGGTACCGGTCAGTCAGCGGGGGGAGGTCCCACGAGGTCACTTCGGCCAATACCTAGGGAGTGCCATTGCTGAGCAGCCCTGGGGGATCCCAGCGACAAGGTGGCCTGCGCCCCCACCCGGCTTCTCACCTCATCATCACTCTGCAGTACATCAGGAATGGGGTCTTGTGAGGCCAGCAAGGCTCCCTCCTTCCTCAGGGTGAGCCTTGGCAATAGCCCACAAGTCTGGTAGTAGCGCTGGGCAGCCTGGTCAGCCAGCCAAGCAACGGAGTGGACATCACTGCTGTAGGAATGGCACACTTATCTCTGGGGTCCAGCTTAGGGCCTGTGGACCCCTCAGCGGGTGCTCTGCTGTCCCTGAAGCCCAGCAGACCACTGTCCGAGGATGCTGCCAGGACTCTGTAGGAAGCACTCTGGGATGCGAGGTGAAGTTGGGCAGCGGGTTAAAGGGAACCTTGCCTGACACGCAGGTGAGGGTGCCATGGCCCTGGCTGTGGCTAACGGCCCTGACCCAGAGCTGCATGGTGGGGGTGGGGGCTGGAAAAGGGCGGGCGGTACCTCACCTGTGCGGGACAGGGATGAGGAAGAGGTGATCCTGAATTCTAACTCGCACTCGGATGGAAGGTGGCTGGATCAGAACCTGGCGAGTAAGGAGAGGGGCAATCAGAAAAGCCGGGCTTCCACTGGACCTCCCCCAAGCCGGTACACCAGCTGTTCCCTGCTCCTGCACTCACTGAAGACTGCCCTGCGGCGAGGTTTTCTCCACTGGGCCCCAAGACCCTGGGCGCACTGGGGATTCTCTGGGGCTCTGTAGCCAAGCTGCCAGCTCCAGCTTTGCTCGGCACACAGGCCAGGTGGCTCTGCTTACTCCAGGCTTGGGGCCTGACAGGGCGCTCCTCCTCAGCTGACCCTGAGGCACTGGGTCTGCGATTATCCCAGCTTCCCTGGGGCCGGGGAAGGCGGGGCAATCGGCTGCGGGTGAGGGGTGTGTCCAGCTCTAGCCAGTCCTCCGACAGGTACTCTTCCTCAGGAATCAGTGCTGCTGGGGAGGAGGGGGCTTCCCCTGAATCCCGAGGAGGACAGGAGCTCAGGCATCGGCTCTGCGCGCTGCCCTCACCTCGGATGGCTGCCTTGCAGGTAGCCCGGCCAGCATGGACTGCAGCTGCCTCCTTGCTGTTGGTAGGGCCAGGCTTCCGAACCCCACCCAGCATCACGCCGGAGGCTCTGTGCTTCTTCTGAGATGGCCTGAGGGTGCCCACGCAGTCCTCATCCTCAGAGCTGCTGCTGCTGCTGCTGGCTGGCCTGTGCCTGCCTTTTCGAGGCCTGGCCACAGCTGGAGTGACCTGTTCTGGGGAGACCCTAGAAGGGACCAGGGGGGCCTCTGCTGGTCTAGGGATACACAGGCAAGGGCTAGAAGGAGGAGAGATCTCAGGGTCAAACAGATGGTCACTTGGAACAGCTGGGAGGTCAGAGGAGCCGTCTGGGGCTGTGGAAAAGAGAATCAGCATGACACAGAGTCAGCACCCCTCCCCTCCTTCTGGGTTCCTATACTTGAGTCTCCTGAGTCAGCTCAGGGAGGGACCAAAGAGGCCTGCTTACCTGAGCCAGAGGAGGCCGCCTGGAGCTTCCTCTGCATGGCTGCTGCCTTCTGTCGCGTCTCAAGGTCTAAGTCCCTCTGGTACAGCTTCACCCAGTGCTGCAATGTCTCCAGTGGGCTGTGGCCCTGTATGGCACCCAGCTTAGCAAGGCAGAAGCAACTCTTCCCACACCCACCTACCCTGGCCTTCCCTAGCTCACCTTCTTGGTTCGTAGGGTAACGGATGCCCCTCGCTGAATGAGCAGCTCAGCTACCTCAAAGTGGCCACAGTTCAGAGCATCGTGCAATGGGGTGATGCCGTCACACCCCTGGCCACCTGGATCATTCACTGCAGCCCCATGGTCCAGAAGGAAGCGGACGATCTCTGTGGGCCCGTGGAAATGAGCCATGATGGTCCCTTCAGACCACATGTCCAGCATGCATGTCCAGTCTGGACCGGCCCAGCTCACCCAGATGCCCGTAGTTGCAGGCTTCGTGCAAAGGAGTCCATCCACAGTAGTCCCGAGGATTCAGGGGGTGCCCCTTCAGGAAGGACAGGGACTCAGGCCCGGGCACTAGAGCAGGTCCCACAGCTACTATCCTTCTCCTTGGCCTGGTCTGGCCCTCTCCTCTGACTTTAATCCTTTTTTTTTTTTTTTTTTTGTTAGTAGTGGGGCTTGAACTCTGGGCCTGGGCGCTGTTCCTCAGCTCTTCAGCTCAAGGCGAGTGCTCTACCGCTTGAGCCATAGAGCTACCTCTGGTTTTCTAGTGGTTTATTGGAGATAAGAGTCTCATGGCCTTTCCTGCCCAGGCTGGCTTTGAACTGATCCTCAGATCTCAGCCTCCTGAGGAGCTAGGATGACAGGCATGAGCCACAGGCACCCAACAGCACCATGTTTCTAGCAACCTCATGGTGCTGTGTCTGAATGCAGGCCCAGAGGCAGGAAGGACCATCCTAGCCAACTCAACCCAGCTAGCCACAGCGCAGACGGCTGCATGTGAGCAGCACCTCAGCTCCCCTCTTAAAGACCAGCGGTGCCAGTGCTGGTGGCTCACGCGATCTGAGGATCACAGTTTGAGCCAGCCCAGCAGGAAAGTCTGTGAAACTTTTATCTCCAGTTAACCATCAGAAACTGGAAGTGGCGCTGTAAGTGGTAGAGTACTGGGCTGGGAAGGTGGCTCAGTGGTAGAGCGCTTGCCTTGCATGCATGAGGCCCTGGGTTCGATTCCTCAGCACACATAAGCAGAAAAAGCCCGAAGTGGTGCTGTGGTTCAAGTGGTAGAGTGCTCACCTTGAGCTGAAGAGCTGAGGGACAGCACCCAGGCCCTGAGTTAAAGTGGTAGCGTGCTAGCCGCAAGTGAGAGAGCTCAGGGACAAGTTCCCAGCCCTGAGTGCAAGCCCCACAGCTAAAATAAAAGACAACTCGCTGGGGTCATCGTCCATCTCGGGGAAGGCAGAGCCACGTGGTCTGTCCAGATACAGTGGCTTACCCTCCTCACAAGGTCCTGGACGCGGCGCAGATGGCCTTCGATGCAGGCTCGGTGCAGCAGGGTCTCTCCCAGGTCATTGCGCTGGTTCCACTGTGGGTACAACCGCCCCAGCTCAGGGCACAGGTATAAGGGGCGGGAAGTACTGCTGGGCCCAGGGTGGGAGGGGTAGGTCACCCTCACCTTGTTCACCTGCCGCCGGCCCAGGTAGCCCTGAAGCTCCTCATCTTCCAGTGGCCGGGAGAGGCTGGTGGTGTCGTCCTCTGGAACAGACCCAGGTCCACCAACCTTGAGTCTTCTAGATAAGCAGCACAAACCCTGCTCTACCCAGAGTCTTCTGGCCACCAGAAAAGCACAGCAGCCATGAGTGGGAAGGTGGGCTCTGGAGGCTTCTCGGGGTGGTGCCAAAGCCAACCGCTGGGCCAACACCAGCCCTGCCAGCAGCCTACTTCCATGCACTGTCTCCTGAAGGAAGCATGCTTCTCACCTCTGTCCCACCCCGAGAGGAGCTGCGCAAGTGTCCATGTACCCAAACCAGTCTTCATCACAGACGTTAGCTGCCCTCTCTGCTGGTAAGCATCCTTGACAGGCGACGTCACCCAGTAGGCCCACCAGCCCTGTCTGCTCCAGGCTTTCCAGTCCCTCCCTAGCTCTGATCAGGTCTATCTTCCTTCCTTCCTTCTTGTTGGTTCTGGGGCTTTTAACTGAAGGCCTGGGCACTGTCCTTGAGCTTTGTTTTCCTCAAGGCCAGTTCCTTATCACTCAAGCCACAACTCTGCTTCTGGATTTTTGGGTACTTAATTGAAGAGAAGAGTCTCACAGACTTTCCTGTTCAAGCTAGTTTTGAACCATGATCCTCAGATCTCAGACTTCTGAGTAGCTAGGACTATAGGCTCGAGCCACCAGCGCCTGGCTGCTCTGATGATTCTCATTAGACTTCCTTTGCTTTCTTCTGGCTGCCTCTGGCCCTTTTTTTTTTTTTGAGTCCAGTTGTGGGGCCTGAACTCTGGGCCTGGGCGCTGTCCCTCAGCTCTTCAGCTCAAGGCTAGCGCTCTACCACTTGAGCCACAGCGCCACTTCCAGCTTTTTGCTTATGTGGTGCTGAGGAATTGAAACCAGGGCCTCATGCATGCAAGGCAAGCGCTCTACCACTGAGCCACCTTCCCAGCCCATCTGGCCTTTTCTTTCACTTTTTTTTTTTGGGGGGGGGGGGTCCGGTCGTGGGGCCTGAACTCAGCCTGGGTACTGTCCCTCAGCTCTTCAGATCAAGGCTAGCACTCTACCACTTGAGCCATAGCGCCACTTCTGGCTTTTTCTGCTTATGTGGTGATGAGGAATCGAACCCAGGGCCTCATGCTGTGTGAGGCAAGCGCTCTACCAGTAAGCCACATTTCCAGCCCAACCTCTGGCCTTTTCTGTGCCCTTCTTCTTCACAGTCTCTTGCTGTGGCCACCTGACATTCCCTGAAGTTCACGGTCCTCTCTCCCTTAGCCACTGCATACCAGCAGCAACAAACCTGTCCCCTCATCTAAGGATGGCCCAACTTCCTAGGCATCTGACTGTCCATCTTGAAGTCCTGAAATTAAGGCTATTCCAGGAACCACATGCCCCCAGCCTTATGGATGATTCCTGTGTGCCTACCAGTCAGCCAGAAACTAGGCCACAGCTCCATAGCCTCCTAACAACCCTGCTTTCAGGCCCATTCCTTCTACCTTGACCTCATGGCCAAGACTGCTTCAGTCAGCACCTTGCTCCAGCGGACCCCTCACCTCCACTGTGGCTGACCACTGTGGCCTCCAGAGTTCCAAGAACATGATCAGCTTTGGCATGGGGAAGCAAAGCTGTTTTTGACACGTCTAATCTATCTTGGACGTGGAACATGTGTCTCTAAAGGGACCAGGTCCCAAGTTGCTAATCCTGTGTAGCCTTCTCTGGCAGATGCCCACTCAGCCACTGACCACTGGCTTCTCAGAGAGCCTCTGACTAATCTGCTCCAGGCTCTCTGCAGGTTGTCAGCTTCCTCTAGTGCTTCCACAGAAGCAACAGCTTCTTCACTGACTGACAGTGGCTGCATCCCCATTGTGAATCCTGAACAGGCTCCTTGAGGACACAGATCTGGTTCCCATCAGTCTAACCTGCTAGCTCCCAGAAGGACTAGGGTGATAGGTTAGGTGCCACCAGCACCGTACCCAGGGCAGGATTTAGACCTTACCACTCTCCGAGAGTTCCAGCTCACTGGTATCCAGGGCCTCACCAGCCTCGGCCTCCTCCTCCTCCTCCTCCTCCTCCCCCTCAGCCACACTAAGTTCCTGCAGTTTGGTTTCAGTCCCAGGAGCCTCTTGAGGCTGTAACCTCAGCTGCACGGCATGAAGGTGTTGCAAGACCTGCCGCTGAGGAGGACAGGGGGTGTCCAGCTCAGGGGCGGGCTAGGACAAGCAGAGGGAGGGGGCAGAGGGACACGGGGGAGGGGGTAGCACAAAGAGAGACAGGCGGCAAGGAAGCTGGACTTGCTAGGAATCCTGTGTAGGTGGGGCATACCTGTAACCAGGGCTGCTGGGCCTGCTCTGCACAGCTCACAGCCTTCTGGAAGCATGGTGCCAACAGCTCATATGCATCACCAGCTTCCTCACGAGACACTGCAATGTTGAACCAGGTCTTGGCTTCCTGAAGCAGAGCAGGTCGAGGTTGGTGGTTGGGGCTGGCTTCTCTTAGCTACCCACACAGGAAGCTCTGGATTGGCTTTGTGCTGTGTCTCCATACAGATGGAGGTGGACAGTCCTTGGGAGGAGGTGCCTGTCTAGTGGGGACAGCCATCCATACTCGCCACTGGGGAATGGTGGACCCCAGGCCCAGGCAGAGCCGTGGGGACACACCTGACTCACACGGGGAGGGGAGGGACTCACCTCCAGGGCATTACCCTTGCGCAGCCTCAGCTCTTCTTCATAGTGGTACACAGCCTGGCGGTGGTCCTTCATGTCTCCAAGTGTGGTGGCCAGGGACACGTGGATGATGGCCAACTCCAGGTCTGGTCTGTCCAGCCGCTCAGCAACACGGAGCTGGGGAGCCGGTACGGTGAGGGCCAGGCTGCTCTGTGCCTCCCACCCTTCCTCCCGCCCTCTCAGGGGAGTCAACCACCTGCTTCTGGTAAGCCTCAGCCGCCTTGGGAAAGTTGCCTGCCTTGGAGAACAAGTCCCCCAGCTGCTCACAGATGGCCAAGGCACCCTGAGGGTCACTGCCCTCCGCCTCCTCCAGCCTCTGCTGCAGCTGGATCACTGCCAGCACTGCCAGAAAAGGTTTGATTTGAGAGGGCGCCGCAACCATGACCCTGGTCCCAGACCATCTTCTGTCACACGGGTTCCCTTAGGGAGGAGGGCCTCACAGCAGAGGAGAGCAACAGGAGATCTCAAGAATTAGACTAAGGCAAGGGGCCAATGGCTCACGCCTGTAATCCTAGCTACTCAGGAGGCTGAGATCTAAGGATCACAGTTTGAAGCCAGCCCAGGCAGGAAAGTCTGTGAGCCTCTTATCTCCAATTAAAAAAAAAAAAAAAAAGCTGCAGGGCCAGGTGCTGGTGGCTCACGCCTGTAATCCTAGCTAGTAAGGAGGCTGAGATCTGAGGATCATGGTTCAAAGCCAGACTGGGCAGGAAACTTGGTGACACTTTTATCTCCAATTAACCACCAGAAAACCAGAAGTGTCAACTGTGGCTCAACGGGTAGAATGCTCACTTTGAGCTGAAGAGCTCAGGGACAGCGCCATGCCCAGAGTTCAAGCCCCATGACTGACCAAAAAAAAAAAAAAAAAGACACAGGGCTGGGAAGGTGGCTCAGTGGTAGAGTGCTTGCCTCGCATGCATGAGGCTCTGGGTTCCATTCCTCAGCACCACATAAGCAGAAAAATCTGGAGGTGGTGTTATGGCTCAAGTGGTAGAGCATAGCCTTGAGCTGAAGAGCTATGGGACAGCGCCCAAGCCCAGAGTTCAGGTCCCATGACTGACCAAAAAAAAAAAAAAAAAGATGCAAGTGGCAATGTGACTCAAGTGGTAGAATGCTAGCCTTGAACAAAAGGAACTCAGGAACAGCGCACAGGCCTAGAGTTCAATCAAGCCTTAGAACTTAAAAAAAAAAAAAAATTCAGAGCTGGGCACTGGTGGCTCACACCTGTCATCCTAGCTACTGAGGAGGCTGAGATCTGAGGATCGTGGTTCAAAGCCAGGCTGGGCAGGAATGTCCGTGAGACTCTTATCTCCAATAAACCACCAGAAAACTGAAAGTGGTGCTGTGAATTAAGTGGTAGAGCGCTCACCTTGAGCTGAAGAACTGAGGGACAGCGCCCAGGCCCAGAGTTCAAGCTCCATGACTGACAAAAAAAAAAAAAGGCAGAAGTAGCACTATGACTCAAGTGCTAGCCTTGAGCAAAAGAAGCTCAGAGACTGTGCCCAGGCACTGAGTTCAAGCTCTAGGACTGGCCAAATAGAAAAAAAGAGAACAAATACAACAGTGTGGGACGATGCCTGGCCTGCAGGAAGCGTTGACTGCAGCCAGCTGCTGCTAACATGACTGTCTCAGTCCTGAGTACATACATGCTATCTGTACTCCTACCCTGTTAGACAGGGAAAAGACCACTGTCCTCAGCTTGTAACAAAAATGCTGCCTTGTGACCAAAGGCCAGCCATTCTTTTTTTTTTTTTGGACGGTTGTGGGGCCTGAATTCTGGGCCTGGGCGCTGTCCCTCAGCTCTTCAGCTCAAAGCTAGCGCTCTACCACTTGAGCCACAGCATCACTTCCGGGTTTTTCTGCTTATGTGGTGCTGAGGAATTGAACCCAGGGCCTCAGGCATGCACTCTACCACTGAGCCACCTTCCCAGCCCCAGGCCATTCTCTTACCCACCTTCTAGTACCCTTGACCCCTGTGCAGGACAAAAGTTCAGGTCTCTTCCTAACTATGGATGTATACCCTTTTCCTGGGAGAAGCCCCTGAAGCTGCCACCTCCCAGATCCTGAGTGGGAGGACCCTCTGCTGGAGAGTAGACCCCTTTCCCTTCCAGAGGACTTAGTCCCAGACCTTTGTGGAGCCTTACCATATTTGAGACTCTGGCAGACAGCTGCTCTCTGTGCAGGCTTCTGGGAGCCTAGTCTGTAGGCCTTCTTCAGGGCTCGTTTGGCAGCCAGGAAGTCCCCCAGGTCTTGGAGGATCTGGGGACAGGGTGAGGTGAGACTGCAGGCAGGCCCAACACCATGCAAGGCTGAACCCCAAACAGGTGAGAACGGCACCTGGGAGATGGTCACACAGCACTCGCTCTCCATAAACCGCATCTTCATGGCACGTGCACATTCCCGGGCCCCCTCCAGGCAGCGCATGGCCTGAGAATGCTGCCCTGCACACCAGTGGATGGCCCCTAAGTTGTACCGGGCCCGGAATAGATCCTCATAGAGATGATTCTGTCTGTGGGAGACGGTGTAACAGGTATTAGAGCCTCAGGGTCCTCCAGCCTGGGGACAGGGGACAGAGGGCTCAGAGGACCTAAGATGTAGCCAAGCCCCTCCCCCCTCCCCTGCTGTGGCTTCAGGTCCAAGCAGGCTCCTTCCCAGACTGCAAAACAGAAGCGAAAGCCCTCTTGCTCATGGCCAAGCTGCTCTCTTGCTACCTTTTCCCTTCTGGGGTGGGGATGGGCCTCACTCAGCAAGAAAGATGCTTTTCTTGAAGTAGTCATTGCACAGGGCCATCTGTTGTAGACGCTCAAAGGTGAGTCCCAGGTTGAGATACAGCCGGGTCCTCATCTCACTCAGCTCTCTCTGGCCCAATGTTCCTAGAAGATGCCCACACGAGACATTCAGACTTCCAGCTGTTCCCACTCCTCTTCCCACTTCATTACAGGAGCTAGGAATGTTCCAGACAGAGCATGAAGGCACAAAGAGCAGATGCCTGCCAGATTCAAGGTGAGGAGCAATGTAGGCCCTCAGCTTATTATATAGGAACCTTGCAAAAGGAGGGCTCCGAAACTCAGAACATAGGGAGAGGCTGGGGTAAAGGAACTGACCTTCTAGCTTCTCATCCACAATAGCCAAGCTTTTTTCAAAGGCAGCTTGTGCTTGCAGCAAGGAATCCTTGGACTGGCAGTGGTCATAGATGTCCAAGTGGGTGCGGCCAATGGTAGCCCAGGCCCTCTGCAGCTCAGTGTAGTTGGACAGGGAACCAGCTAGCTCCAGGTAACGGTGCTGGTGCTAGTGTGAAGAGGAAAAGCACTGGAGCCAATTCTACTGTAAGTCCCGACTCCAGGAAGAGCTAGGCTTACACAAGAGAACCCCTGGGGCTGGGAAGGTGGCTCAGTGGTAGAGCGCTTGCCTTGCATGCATGAGGCCCTGGGTTAGATTCCTCAGCACCACATAAGCAGGAAAAAAAAGCCCGAAGTGGCGCTGTGGCTCAAGTGGTAGAGTGCTAGCATTGAGCTGAAGAGCTGAGGGACAGCGCCCAGGCCCAGAGTTCAGGCCCCACGACCGTACCCCCCCAAAAAAGAGAGAGAACCCCTTACTCCCCCAATGCTCCAGAATGCTGGACACATACGCTCCATCTGGTCTGTACAAAAGGCTATCAGTGGTGACAGCTGTTCTGTGCTGCAGCCACCCCTGAAAGCTGACTGAGGTATTCTGCCATCTGTCCCCATAACAGTGGGTCCCACAGAGAGAGCTCAAGTCATAGTTACTTTCGTGTGTGTGTGTGTGTGTGTGGCCATCCTAGAGCTTGAACTCAGGGCCTGAGCTTCTCTGCTCAAGGATAGCACTTTACAAGTTGAGTCACAGCTCTATTTCTGGCTTTTTAGTGGTTAACTGGAGATGAGAATCTCATTTGGGGGGGGGGGGCTGGGAAGGTGGCTCAGTGGTAGAGCGTTTGCCTTGTATGCCAGAGGCCCTGGGTTCGATTCCTCAGCACCACATAAGCAAAAAAGAAAAAAGCCGGAAGTGGCGCTGTGGCTCAAGTGGTAGAGCGCTAGCCTTGAGCTGAAGAGCTGAGGGACAGCGCCAAGGCCCAGAGTTCAGGCCCCACGACCGAACCCAAAAAAAAAAAAGAATCTCATTGGGGCTGGGGATGTGGCTTAGTGGTAGAGTGTCCACCTAGCATGCATGAAGCCTGGGTTTGATTCCTCAGTATCATATAAACAGAAAGAGCCAGAAGGGCACTATGGTTCAAGCGGCAGAGTGCTAGCCTTGAGCAAAAGAAGCTCAGAAAGAGTGCCCAGGCCCTGAATTCAGGCCCTAGGACTGGCACAAAAAAAAAAAAGAATCCCATTGGCTTTTCTGCCCAGAGTGACTTCAAACTGCAATCTCAGATCTCAGCCTCCTGAGTAATGTAGGATTACAGGTGTGGGCCACCAGCACCAGGCAAGTCACGGTCCCTTTGCCAGAAACCCACTCATGCCTCCACTCAAGGACCAGGCCAAGCGTCCCTGGAAAGCCCGAGTCTGAGGCTGCCTGTGCATTCAGCTCGCCTGGGAGTCCTTCGCAGTCAGGGACTCCCTCAGAAAGGCGGCTTCAAAATCCCAGGTCTCCCCGTGCACCTGCAGGGCAGCAGAGTAGTTCTCCATCTCGGCCAGCCGCTCTCCGATCTTGCGATGAGCCACGGCGCAGCCCAAGGGGTCCAGGGCACACTCCAGAAGCTGCAGCTCCTGCTGGTGCTCTTCCAGGGCTTCCGCGAAGCGGCCTGCCAGGAAGGACGCAGCGTCTGGTTAAGGGGCTGGGTGCCACCCGACAGCCCCCCCCCCCCCCCCCCACCCTCTCCTCCCCGGCCCGGCCCTCTCACCCTGGCCGGCCAGCAGCTCGCCCACCCCGCCCCAGCCCGCGCCCCGCGCCCGTTCACCATGGCCGGCCCGCGCCCCGCTCCCACAAAAATGCTGCCTTGTGACCAAAGGCCAGCCATTCTTTTTTTTTTTTGGACGGTTGTGGGGCCTGAATTCTGGGCCTGGGCGCTGTCCCTCAGCTCTTCAGCTCAACGCTAGCGCTCTACCACTTGAGCCACAGCATCACTTCCGGGTTTTTCTGCTTATGTGGTGCTGAGGAATTGAACCCAGGGCCTAGGCATGCACTCTACCACTGAGCCACCTTCCCAGCCCCAGGCCATTCTCTTACCCACCTTCTAGTACCCTTGACCCCTGTGCAGGACAAAAGTTC